TTAATTTCCGTACTTGGGTCTGGCTTTCTGGTTTTTTTCTCGCTTCACTGTTTTTTTGACGTGCCTGCGCGTGTTGTTTATGGATTTAATAACTCTAAACAAAAAATCAACATTGCCACAACAACATCGTCAACAACAACAACATTATCAACAACAACATTATCAACAACGTCATCATCAGCAATAACATCAACAACAACAACATCATCAACAACAACCACCAACCACAACATCATCATCAACTACATATCATCATCAACAACAACCACCAACCACAAGTTGTCTCGAGTGGTCAACGAAGTTTACCACTCCTTCAACCGCCACCAATCCCCATTCCTCCTACTGATTGTCAGCGTTACTAAGCGTTAGTCGTGATGATGATAATGATGCTGTCGGTGATGATGATGATGATGATTGATGATGTCGGTGGTGATGAAGATGATGATGATGATTGATGATGTTGTCGGTGATGATAAAGATGATGATGATGATGATTGATGATGTTGTCGGTGATGATTATGATGACGGTGAGGGCGGTGGTGGTAGTGACGATGATGAAAGAGCTTTAACATTCCCGTAGTATCACCATCACAACACCACCATGATATCATATCATCGTAAATGTAATATATCAATATCATCGTAAATGTAATATATCATCACCGGAACATCCACATAACTTACTTAATCTTTGCATTTTAAAATTGTATATCATAATGGTATCATAACAATATCATAACACTATCATAAAAGTATCACAACAGTATCATAACAGTATCATAACAGTACCATTACAGTATCATAACACTATTATAACAGTATCATCACAGTATCATAACAGTATCAAAACAGTATCATAACAGTACCATAACAGTATCAAAACAGTATCATAACACCACCACCACCACCACAACATGACATCAACGTAACATTACCGCCACGACACGACGCCACCGTGGCATCCACACGCGCCACACACGCCGACAGGCAACGTTGACGTCAACGTGACGCCCGACAAACGTCAGATCTTCATGCAGGACGAAAAGCTGCTGCTGGCCATCTTGAAGGTACCGACGATCACTTTTGAACTTTCCTCCATCATTCGTGACAATCTTTCATTCATTTATGTAGCGCGCAGTTGAGATGATACACGACTGCCGACAGGAAGAGGGTAATGTTCCGGATATAAAGATGGGATAAATAGATGATGAGGAGGAGGAGGAAGAGGTTGAGAGACGACGGTTCAGGATGTTGGGTGAGATCCAACGGGCTGTTTGTTCATTTAAGAGGGAGAGTTTAAAAGACTGCGGTGGGGAGTGGTTGGTGTCGGTGGAGAGTGGTTGGTGTGGGAGTGGAGTGGTTGGTGGATGGAAGGCGGTTGGCTGCCACTGTGATGTAAGAGGTTGTATGAGGTTCTAAGGATTCGGAGGTTGAAGTCAGTTGACTGATTGCTGTGGCGTTTGAAGGTGGTGCTTGTGATGGCTCGGCAGGCCAGGAGCAGTGTAACGTGTGGTGTGGCGTGGCGTGGCGTGGTAAGGTACGTTATGGTATGACGGCATGTCATCTTCATTGCATGTTGGCTCTGCGACCAACCACTCCCCACCGACACCAATTATCAGAGCTTCATCATTCATCATCATTGCCGTCGTCATCATCATCGTCGTCGTCATCATCATCATCATCATTATCGTTACCATCATCAACATCTTTATCAGCAACATCATCAACAACATCATCATTAACAACATCATCAACAACATCATCATTAACACAGACATCTCTCAAGCAACTATTCAACGGCATTCCTTCTATTTGTCCAACGCTGAGTAAGGATGGGTGGGAGGAGTTATCTGATTGATTGATTGGTTGATTGATTGATTGATTGGTTGATTGATTGATTGATTGATTGATTGATTGATTGATTGAATAAGTTAATAAACAAGTGAATGATTAATTAATTTATTTATTCAATTGTTTGATAGACTAGTTTAAACGATTGATTGAATGAATGATTGACAGAATGAAAAAATGGATGAATGGTAAATAGATAATCAGCTGGATGATTGATATCAACTTGTTTGATATCAATCATTGATATAGTTAGTGATAGATCAATAATCTAATTTATTCATTCAAATATAAGCTTTTACAACGCATTGGTTCATTCACTCATTCATTTATTTTCTTTTTACCCATCAACCCATCCATCTACCCATTCATTCATCAATCAATCCATCCATTCATCCCAATCCATTCATCCATCCATCCATCC